CTCCTCCCCTTGCTTAGCTGCAATCTCTTACTCCAAAGTAGATTACCCATCTACTTAATTCAAGCAAATCAATCCAAGTTTACATGTATAGTGGTTTCAGAATTGTTAACCCATACCTTCATGGAAAAAAGCCCATCAACTCGAGTACAGTGCTTACGTACAGTTCCTTTTGTCTTTAGTCTTACAGACCCCACCCATTTCCAGAGTGACTTAGGCCAATGCTTTATTTTTCTAAATCCATTGTTTATCCTCCATTGATAGTGAAGGTGAACCCTATATACATTTTCTTTTTGTCAACTGGCGTAATTAATCTTTGTTATCAGAGGGACACTGGAGGAACATGAAAAGAGGAAAGGGCTTCTCTTCCTGGTTCTGTGTGCTCTTCCCTGTTTGCTCCTATGACAGAGGAGCAGCCAGCAGCAGGCAGGACCTCCATGACACTCACTTTTCCAGCAAGTTCTGCCAGCAGGACTCGCTTCATGGAAGTATAACCAGTGTAGTGTCTCAAGACCCCCCCTCTCATAAGGAGCTACACATTTGGTTTAATGCTCTGTTGATACAATCTTGAAATTCTTAACGATTTTGTCTTTGAACTTACGGGGAAGTCCAGTGGGACAAAAGGGCATGCACGTGTCCAGGGGAGATAACGAGGTGACAGTGTCCACGCACATGGGGTCAGGTCCACAGGCACAGCAGGCAGTGCTCAGGATGCACATGAGCGTGAGCGTGAGCAGCTGGCCTGGCTACCTGGTGCACACAGCATACGGAGGGGTGGGGGGGGGGCAGGTCAGGGCCCTGAAGACCCCAAAGGGTAGCCTGGCTGGGATGACACAACAGCAGCAACAGCAGTTGCTACCACAGCCCTGAAAGAAAGAAGAGACACCTCCTGAGTTCAATGCTGGGACCTGTGGGGAAAGGCCAGCTCTCCCATCTGTCCCTGGAGCCTGTCCCTGTGGCCACCTCACCAACACGAACTCTCCATCCTGAGCACCAGGGTGGGAACTACCTGTGCAGCCAGTAGATGTTTCAGTAAGTTATTGCAAAATGAAGTTGTAATATTGTGATTTATAATATGAAATATGTGTGTGTATAGATATAGATATAGATATATGTATGTATATATTGTATACATACATATGTATGTATAAAAATATGTATAAATATATATATATACGTGTGTGTGTGTGTGTGTGTGTGTATATATATATATTTGGTCTTCATCCTTATTTCAGTCACAGAGCTCCAAAGTCCCTTGGAATTTCCTAAGTGAGGAGAGCAATAAACATCAATAAATATCAATGACAGCAAGAAACATCAACCAACTTTGGAAAGTACCTAAGGGTGAGGGCTGGTGGCCAGAAGAACCAACCCTGTGATCCAAGGGTTAAAATTTCCCTACTACCTACCTGACCTCTAGGTAGGTTGAATCAACACCAATGGCCAGTGACTTGATCAATCAGGTCTATGTAATGAAGCCTCCATAAACACCCAAAAACAGTGTGGGCAGAATGGTTCAGAGAGTTTACCATTGACACAAATATGGAAGTTTGGGGAGAATGGCACACTTGGAGGGGGTATGGACGTTCTGCACCCTTTCCCCTCACACCTTGTCTTATGCATCCTTCCGTCTGGCTGTTCCTGAGATGTATCTTTTTATAATAGATCGGTTACCTAGTAAATAAAATGTTTCTCAGCATCTGTGAGCCATTCTAGCAAATTAATGGCTACCAAAGAGGGGGTCATTGGACCCTCCAGCCTATAGCCAGTCACCAGAAGCATGAGTAATGACCAAGACTTTCAAGTGGCATCTGAAGACATTATCTACCTGGAGATAGTGTCAGAACTGAGTTGAATTGTGGGACACCCAGCTGGTGTCCCAGAACTGCTTGAATGTGTGGGGAAACTACTCCCTCCCCCACCATTACTACACACACATTGAAATTGGGATCAGAACTCAGAAAGCATACACAATAGACATTGCAATAAAACATATCAGGGAGTTACTAGAATTCTTCAAAGAATTTAGAATCTCTGGCTTTGAAACTTGCTGCAAGATTGGAAAGCAAATTTAGAAATAGAAATTGTAGTTAAAAATTGTTGCATCCATTCAAAAGAAACAGTAGTTTCCTATGAATTTTTCAATGAACAAATTCCTACTAACAACAAAGGCAATTTTTAAATTAATGTTTTCTTGTCATTGAATATATAGCAACAGACTACATAATGGGCGTTTTAAATTATATAAAAATCACAAAGTCCCTCTTGGTTTCTTGTACAAACTCCACAAGTTACAGGAAATATCAGAGGAAGCATTAAAATGCCACTGTATAAATTTATGCTTAAAATTAAACTCAGACTTAAACAAAAATGATTTATATAAAGGGTTAAGTCTTTTCAGAAAAAAAGATTTAGAATCATACTCTAGATGTACTAAAAACTTACTTTGAAGTAATTTATCAGAAATTTGTCCTCCTGTTGTTGCAACCTGTAAAACACTCAACTCCAATTACGGTTGCATCAGCTGAAAGAGACTTCTCAAAATTAGAAATTACTGTGGTTCTTACATTTGCCAAGAGCTACTGACATTGCTTTCAACTCATTGAAAATGAACTTGCCACATTTTGATGAATTTGTAGGAAATTGGGCCAGAAAAATCATATGACCAATCAAGATAGCACATTCATAAAGCATTATTATTTACTGTATTATATAAAATTATGATTCTGATACCTAAAATATTAATTAATTAATTAATTAATTAGTAAGTTAAATCCACATGGCCTTTCTTCTCAGCACTTTACCTCTAATACCCTATTACCATAGGGGGTCCCAGACTCTATGGTCCAAACAGCAGTGCTGTTTGCACTGACCACAGACCGGCTGCAAAGCCCTTTCCTGTTATGGATACTGAAAGCTGGCAGCCTTTCATATCACCCAGTGGGGGAAATAGACCCTAAGGTGTCCCATATTCATGCTCTGTATGCAATCTCTTTTCCTCGAGTGTAGGCAAGACCTGCGACTTGCTTTTAACCAATAGATGATGGCAAATGTGATGGGATGTCACTTCTGATCATCCATCCTTGACATTCTTAATATTACAAATTGAGGATATCCTTGTTAGCCACCCATCTGTTTTATCCCATGAACATGCTGTGTTCCATTCACCGTATCCATAACTATCCAGTGTATGAGTTGGGAGTTGACCTGGCTTGGAGCTGGGCTACTCTGGAGAATAATTCCTGGACCTGGTTCTCAGATCTTTCTGTCCTTCCCCTGCGGACGTGAGAATCGCTTTGTAAAAGACCAGAAGTCCACATCCAGAATTACTGTGACACCAGCTAATCACAGGTCATTTCTTACCTAATAGCTTGCAAATAAGGTTTCCTTTGAAGATGCGGACACTGTGTAGCTTCAGAGGAGATGAGGACACGTTGGGTCACTTTATAAAAATTTGCCCTAGTTCCCACAAGTCAGTTTGTAGGTTTTGTGTGCTCTGCTTTAATCTGATAAAGATTTGTGTTTTTAATTAACCAGTTAGGTCCCTATGATGGGAAGTGGACCTAGAGGGACGGAGATTTAGGAATGTGGCAGCCTGATGGTTTGAATTCCAGTTGTCTGTCTAAAATTCTATTATTTGGGGCAGTTGCTCAGCCTCTGAGAGGCAGAAGCCTGATTTTAGAGAGAAGGCGGTCCCCCCAAATTTTATCCCCCCTGTACTCCTTCCCCCAGAGTGGGGAAGTATGAAAATACTTGTCACCATGAAAAGTCAGAACAGCCAAGACTAAAGGACAGATGGAGAAACACAGGAAGAACGAGGACAGCAAGAGGTACGAGGAGGCTATATTCCCTTTTCCTGTGTCCTCCTTTTATAAATTTTAACATTTCACACTTAAACTTTTCCTAGGGTTCGTATTTCTGTGGCTAGCTCTTTGTTATTACAGTTTACCCATAGATATGATAAATGAATATAGTGAATGATTGCTGAAGGTCGACCAGATGGCTTGATGACTTCATTTACTCTTTTTCTTTGGGAAAACAATTGAAAAAATTCTAACTACTCATTCTCCTGCAGGCAGGGGTGTGCAGTGGTCACTTTTGAAAATGGAAAGATAAACGCGGTTCTTGTGTGCCTGAAAGCTCTGGGGATCCTGGAGATACTTTCTGCTCCACGATTTTATTCAAGAACATCAGGAATTAATTGTACACCTTGCTGTGAGAAAAAGGCACATTGTATATTCCAAACACCAAGATCTTTCTTTTAGGATTAGAAATGTAGTTGACACAGAGAAAATACTTTCAAGATGTCGGGGGGGGGGGGGGGCCGGGGGCAAGTCTCCAGCTCTTTAGAAGTCAATATTATTCAGCACCTGTATAGTTTCATATCTCTGTGGGTTAGGGGTATCTAGTGTTTCTCAGAGACCATAACCCAGCCATCCATAATCAAACATGAGTCCTCTCAAAAGATACAAAAAAGAAGAAGGGAGTAGACATAAGAACTCTTCCCCAGAGTTTCAAAATATTTCCAGATATGAGAGCTTTGAAGAACAATTTCCTCTTCGGGGATTTCCAGCCTTCTCAATCTGAAAGGCAGGCACAAAGCTTTATATTTCCTGTTCACACTGGATTCCAGGGTGAGTCTAGCCTGCACGCTGGCTTTCAGACAAACAGTGGGGAAGGACCAAATAGAAGAATAGACGGGGCATTTGCAGTCGCACTTGGGTTCTGATCCATTCTGGACTCCTAGTTATGTGCCCTTTCCGTGGCTCAGTTTACTCATTTGTAAAACACAGTTGCCAACAGCTACTTCCAATGGCTTTTGCAGTAAAGACGTGAGAATAATAGGCGATGGATTCCCTGTACAAAGGAGACCGTCACTAAACATGTGCCTGGTTAGTTCCACGAAGGCAGGTCTCTCGAGCCCCAGCACTTCCTCATGCCTGGTGCACAGTAGGTACTCAAGATTTGTCAAACGAATGAGTCATATTCATTATTTTCCATTTCTTATCACTGTCGCCCTATAAACTGGACAAGATGTTCACCTGTATGCAGGGAGGACTACATTGCCTTATCAGGAGAACCCAGCAGGACCTGATGTTATACACATGCACTCCGATATCTTCCTAGTGGGAATGTAACTGGACACGACCACTTTAGAGAAGAATTCGGGAAAGTGGACTACTGAAGCTGAACATGCATGCACCTTGACTAGCGTTCCATTCCTAGGTGTATACCTCTAAGAATATAGCTTTTCATACAAGACCACACATACCAAAACATTAATGTTTGTAATACAAACAAGGGAAAGCAATTTAAATGCTGAACAGCTGAGTAATCAATACATGTATTCAATATATTCTTTTAAAAAATGTTTATGTTTACTTATTTTTGAGAGAGAGAGAGAGAGAGAATGAGCAGGGGAGTGGCACAGAGAGGGAGATACAGAACCTGAAGCAGGCTCCAGGCTCTGAGCTGTCAGCACAGGGCCCGACACGGGGTCAAGCCCACAAACTGTGAGATCATGACCTGAGCCGAAGTCGGGCGCTTAACCGACTGAGCCACCCAGGCACCCCTCAATATATTCTTAACATGCTATTTTACAACAAAGAAAATTAGCAAAATTCTGCCAGCATATACGACCCTCAAATACAGAATTTCAAACAAATAATTCCATCTGCAAAAGAATAGACTAGATTATGGTTATATACATCTAGTTTAAAAGATGCATAACAGCAACATATATTGCTTACCGGTACAAACATGTATCATTAAAGTATAAAAAATGCAAAGAATAATAAACACTATATTTAGAAGAGCCAGTCCCTCTGCGAAGGGAGAGGAGGGTTTAAATCAGAAAAGACGATGCAGAGAAATTTGATACAGAGGAATATCAGTGATTTTTGATGTTTTAGAAAGGTGTCCACCAGCTAAAAATGAAAACGTACGTTTAAAAAGGATCTTAACATGTGAGAGCTGGCGGAATCCTCTAGCACTAACCCCGCCTCTCCATTCTAAAGGTAAGCAACCTCAGGCCCAGAGAAGTGAAGTAATTTGCTTCAGGGTGCACAGTCAGGTAGCAGCAAAGCTGTGATTAGATTCCAGATTTTCAGGTCCCACGCCAAAAGTTTTACAGTGCTCTTTTTAATTGCGTTTGGTCTGGTTCCTTTTTCCCTCTTGCAGGGAGGAAACTGAACATACACGTGAGCAGCACCGTCATTAGATGCACCACAGTTGAGCCCCGCAGAGAATGTATGGAGAAAAGGCTTCTGATTGAGTCCAGGCAGACAGGATGTTCTTGACGCACGGCCGGCCAGCGTAAGCAGTATTTCTAAGGCTTTTGTTTTCCTGCCCTAGAGAGATTGTGGGGCATTCATATGCAAGGTCATCCAAACTTGCCCACATGTTTACTCCCAGTCCCCAGAAAAGTCAGACCAGCCTTGGCAAATCTGGGTTTTGCTATCAAGACATCCAGACTTGTAAGGAATTTTAAAGTTTCAAGTCCTTGAGATTTTCAAAGTAGGAGAACACAGTTCCAGATCACAGGATTCAGGGACGCCTGGGGGGCTTAGTCAGTTACATGTTCGACTCCTGATTTTTGACTCAGGTCACGATCTCATGGTCATGGGATCAAGCCCTGTGCCGAGCTCTGCACTGAGTATGGAGCCCTCTTAGGATTCTCTCTCTCTCTCTCTCTCTCTCTCTCTCAAAATAAATAAACATTAAAAAAAGAAAAGATTGCAGATTGCAGGATTCCATGGAACTGGCAAGATTATGGCAACAAGTTTTTGAACACACAGATGAAACCTCCATGTGTATTATTTCATGTACACAAAACAAGACAAAAATGGTACCTGAATAAAGGCATTTTCGACACCATTCTACATATATCACATCAATACTCATGCATACTGTACAGTGAATTTCTACCTAAGCTTTTTGTTCTCCCTCCCATTAAGTTTCAAAGCGGATCTGGAAAGTTCAGTTTGCTTTTTTACTGATGATAATTCATAGAGGTATTAATGCCTCTTATTTTTTATGTTCTGGTGACTTTCTGGTCTCTTAACCCAAAGTTTTTTGTTTTTAGTTTTTTTTTTTTGAGACAGAGAGAGACAGAGCATAAGCAGGGGAGGGGCAGAGAGAGAAGGAGACACAGAATCCGAAGCAGGCTCCAGGCTCTGAGCTGTCAGCACAGAGCCTGATCCAGGGCTTGAACTCACGGACTGTGAGATCATGACCTGAGCTGAAGTCGGACACTTAACCAACTGAGCCACCCAGGCACCCCTCTTAACCCAAAGTTTTTGATGCATATCTTTCTGTCCCATGTGTACCCTAGAGACACAAAGTAACTTGGCTCCTGGATGGAAAAAGTTGGGGTACCAATCCCTCATCTATCTTAGGGATTTCCTCGCCTCTCCTTCCCTAATCCATGATGTATGTAGCTGTGGCTCTGGCATATGGCAATGGCCTGTCACCACACCTCAGAACAGGGCACCATCTCCTACCAGCTCCATACCCATCTTCATTCCCCCAACTATAGTGAACATTCAACCCACGGCCAAGGAACAACTGAGTTCGTCTTCCCTTACCTGTCCTCGTACTTTTTTTTTTCAAGTTTATTCACTTATTTTGAGAGAAAGAGAAAGTGTGAGTGAGGGAAGGGCAGAGAGAGAGGGAGAAAGAGAGGATCTCAAGCAGACTCATCACTGTCAACACAGAACCTGATGTCAGGCTCAAACCCACAAACTGTGAGATCATGACCTGAGCCCAAGCCAGACACTCAATGGACTGAGGCATCCCTCTCATGCTCTTTTGTTGAAAAATCCCTACATTGTTTGGACATGGTCTTCCTCCTTATCTCTGTTCCATTTTCCCCTTTAATAAATATTTCCAAGTGAATGGATGTCCATATTGGAATTTCATCAGAAAACTTCACTAGAAAAGATTCATTTCTATTAGAATTTTGCTCAAGGAAATTTCATGGGTAGGGTACAGTTATTGGGTCTATTTATTAATCTACAAACATTCCTATCAACCCACCAAAATGTTACCATGTCTTTCTTCAAGGATGACCCCAGACCTGTATCTGATGAAGCCATAGATGGGGGAGTGCTGGAGGTTGTTTTTCAAACTTAGGTAATATTTATACCTCCCCATTTTGTTTTTGGGGTTTTATTTATTTTTTATTTTTTTCAGGCTAGGGCCCCAAGCCAATTGTACGATCTTTCCATGCCAGGGTGAGTCTATGTGTCTTGCTTCCCTTTGCCATTTTGTATAGAGTCTTGAGGAGAAGAGCATGTGTGGTCTAAAAGAAAATGAGTAGAATCTGCAGAGAGCTTGAGTGAGGCCCATGGGCTCCACAGCAGGAGGCCAGAATGGGGCAGGTTCTCTTGTGCCATGGGCACGATTTGTGGTCCAGCCATGTCAAAGCCATTTCATGAAGGAAAAGCAAGCTGAGTAGAAGGCAGAAGTCTTTTCTCTTGGCCATTGCCCTGTGCACAAAACTGGCCCCACTGGCAAAGCAAGACGAAGCTACCCAGGTGCAAGGCTTAGATGGGGGGACCAGAAGGCCATTTGGATGATGTTTCATGACCCCAAGGCACAGCAAATGAAATTATACTAAGAGTCTCAAAAAAGCAAAGAAAGAAATAAAAGGAGATACCCATCATACAATTCCGATTGTAGGTCTCATTCCCAGACCTCTTTTCTGTTATCACGATAAATTAATATTTTGGTAAATTCTGTAAAGTTTTTGTGAATAGTGTAATGATTCCATCATTGTCACAGCAAAACATTTATTTATTGAATGGCATGTGTAAAATAGACTTCAGTTTTTACAACCTTGTTTAATATTTACTCACTTTTAAATACACCTCAAAAATACATAGTTTATGTGTGTTAAATATACCTAAGTTGTATTGCAATACGTTTGTAATTCAAAAACATGTTTTGGCAAAATGGTGCCCTGGTTTCTTAGCTGTAAGGATCACCAAATGTGCAGAAGCCGAGATGAAAGGTAAGTTGATATCTTTGGTTTTTACTTTTAGCTCTGAATTTTCTTTCAAAGGGGTTTGAAACGTAAAATTGCAAAACTCACAAAAAGGAGGGCAGCAGAGCGATTCCTTGGTCTTCTGAACATCATCACATTTACTTCTTTTGTTTTCCAACAAAGAAAGGAGCTACGCCATACACCCCATAAGTATATGGCCTGGGCCTCGCTGACAGAGAACACAGACCTAAAGGGAAATCGTCCATCACAAGTAAGAAAACACCAAGGACTCAAACAGTGACATTGGGAAAAACAGAGAGAGAGAGAGAAAAGAAAAAACAAAACAAAACAAAACAAAAAACGAGATAGGAGAAATCTCAGATTTTTTTTTCACGAGTATTTGGGGCTTTGAACTTCATGTTTGGAGAATAACTGGTGACAAATTCCTTTCTTGTTGATGCAAGTTGGTAACTGGAAATTCTACTCCGATGAAACCACAGATACATTCTCAGACAACACACTAACCAGAGATTCCCCACCTCCCGAAGGCGCATGCAGACATGCAGACTAGCTGGTGAATTCCAAGAGATCAGGCCCTGTCTGAGGGTCCTTGACATCCTTGGGGAATGCTGGGTTGTGACAAAGACAAGCCAACTTCCACCAAAACCCTGCATTGTGTCGTGACCCACCCCCTGGGGGGGCAAACTTTCTGCCACTTCCTCAGTGAAGCCACTCTCAGCCTGCCTGGCCTGCTCTCCTAGGCCCTCAAGTTGTGGCCATGTTAACGCTCAGAGCGCTATGCTAATCAGGGGTGACTGGCATTTTGTGCAATTTTTTTTTTTTGGATGGGGGTGCCCAAGACTAAATCAGACTAATGATGAAACAAACACCATTTTTCTAGCTCTGTTCTCACCTCATATTCCCAACAGTGACTTCTAGAAGTTTCCCTGATAGCGTCTCACATGAGTTCCACAGACCAGCTCTGCCCGATGCAGGTCGGCGTGCCCCCGCTCCCTGTCCCTGGGATGTACCAAGCTGCCGATGCACAGACGACGAAGCCAACGGTGAGGGCACACACCGCTGAATCCTCAACAGCACGGCCGCTGATTTCCTCCAAGGAGCTGTTCTCGGTGGCCCCTGTCACATAACCTCTCCCAAATCTGTGTGTTTATGGTTTCAAAGCCACTGTCCCTATTTCCTTTTATCACTGACCATGCTGGTATTGTTGGCGTTGCTGAGATCTTGCAATATTAAGATCGTGCTGAGATTCTGATCAAACAGCTGCCCAGTTCTGGGCTCCCTCTTCCTTGCATACCCCTCCACGTGGACATCAAGTGACAGAACTGTGCTGTAATCACCCCAACTCTCTAGCTCATGCTCCAAATCTGTATGCCTGAAAACTCATCCCAGAAGGCTCCTTGGGGTGTATTGCAAATTACTCCAGCTTCTTCGAAGACATCAGCACACACACCCTCACCCCCCCGACCCCCGCCACACCCACCTGCACCCTGCTATGGACATTCCCACAGGATCCACGCTATGGGGGTGCCCCACACATCATGTAGGTATCTAAGAAAGGTTTGTGAAAGGAACAATCAGTCACTTTCACTGAAAGCAGGCAGCCCTGGCAATGTGTTGCTTATTGTTGGCGCAAAGGGGGTGTTTGCAGCCTCTCTTTGGGGGTGCGGGGTGGGACAGATAAGGTCATAAGCCTCAATCTCAGAGTCTCTCCCTCAAGCTTGCCTCCACAGGAGGACTTCTTGTCAAGAGGTCACTGTGACTGCCATCCATGCTGGATGTGGTTCTCAGTGTCCACGGTGCGTAAGGACCAGCCGGGTCCCCACCCAGGACAATCGGTGTCAGTTCTCTGGGGTTTTTTCCGTCCCCCAGTGATCGTCCTGCACCTCAGAGCTCCAAGTACTGTGCAGAGCAAACCCATAAACACACAGACACGTAAACCTCTGAAGATTCAAGCAGCTTATTTTATCGTTGTCATTCTTGTAACGCTTGTCCAACGTATCAAGATCTTGAGTTTGAAGGGAACAGTGTTTGGGGAGCCTGGGTGGCTCAGTTGGTTAAGGGTCAGACCTCAGCTCAGGTCATGATCTCTCGGTTTGTGAGGTTCAAGCCCTGTGTCAGGCTCTCTGCTCTCAGCGCGGAGCCTGCTTCAGATCCTCTGTCTCTCTCTCTCTCTCTCTCTCTCTCTCACTCAAAAATAAATAAATATTTTTTAAAAAATTAAAAATGAAAGTAACAATGTTCATTTTAGCCGTTCCCACAACAAAGATGTGCAGAACAATTACTGTTCTGGATGCTAAGCCCACCCTACTCGGCCCCCGACACAGGAAAAATGTTGATAATGTGGTGCTTATTCTCTCAGACCTTGCTGTATATTCATGAAAACGATACGTCCACAGATACACAAGCTGTTGGCTAATTCATTTGGGAAAATAATGTCTTTCTTTTTTGCATTGCCTTGAGCACAACCAATCTCCTTTTCCGTTAGAAGCATCCCTTTGCTAACATCCCTTCTAACAGGGAAAGAATTATGTTCCCTACAGAAAGAACTGGAAGAGCCAGACGAGTGTTCTGTTATGACATACAAAAAGGAGGATCTCTGAACCTACAGAAAGACAATAGTCTTTGGCAAGAGAGAAACATCTTCCTAAACAGTTAAGCAGGGCTTGCGGCTTTTCACTTACTGACTCAACGTTACCACTCAGCACTTGGAAGCTCTTCTTTGCTTTATAGAAAGAGAGCCAGGAAATAACATTCTTCACAGATCCTTTTTGTATATGGTTCTGGGTCTAGGTCTTCTGGAAGAGGAAAATTTCTGTGTAGGCCCCCAAGGAGATGTGACATACCGAAAGGCCTGTGGGCTAGCACAGGCCTGGGACTGGGCAGGTAGGGCACCATGGCTGGGGCCTCAATGGCAACAGTGTGGCTCAGGGCCAGAAGGAGAGGAGGAACCAATTATAGTCATTAGTTCATTCAAGAAGGGATTCTCATGCACCAGTTGTGTGCCTGACGCAGCTCTGGGTCTTGGAGAGGGAACCATGAGACAAATAGACCCAAATCCCTGCCATCATGGAGCTTCCCTTCAAGCAGGAACTTCAGCAGAGAACAAGCTTGTGTCCAGTAACAAGTGGGGCAAAACTTGTCAGCCAGAGCACCGTGGAGAAGGACCCGGATGGGCTACCTGTGCTCAGTGTCCCTTGTGAGCCAGAGCCTCCAGGGAAAACCTCACCAGGCACCATCTTGGAAGGAGATGGGGAGGAGGACAGACTCAATTCACAGTCTAGTTACTCCCAAAGAGACCATGCTAAATTAGGGTGGGGGTGTTTATACACCGGAGAGACTGGATATCAAAATAGTCCACTGACTGGAAAGTTTTCAGTTTTCTACCCTCCACATTTAGAGATTCCAAAGGATGATTCAGTTAAATACAGAAATAAGCACATCTAAGTAACTACTTACAAGTTCACCATTATTTCACACATAGGTGAATACTGATTTTGGGTGTTGCTTTGTGAAAATGAGATCCTGTCCATGCACTTCCCTCCCTACCTTGTCATTCCTTGTTCTCCATGCCACCCTGGAAATTCTGCCCAGCAACCAGTTCCCGTTACATCACTACAGGAGTTTACATCATTTGCAGGAGTAAGTGGGTGAGAAAGAAATCCAGCCTCACTGGCAGAAGGGGTCCCAGGCTCCTTTAAAATGAGTAAGAGGCAGGGCGCCTGGGTAGCTCAGGTCATGATCTCGCCACCGTTTATGAGTTCGAGCCCCTTGTCGGGCTCTGTGCTGACAGCTCAGGGCCTGGAGCCTGCTTCGGATTCTGTGTCTCCCTCTCTCTTTCTCTGCACCTCCCCTGCTTGTGCTCTGTCTCTGTCTCTCAAAAATGAATAAATGTAAAAAAAAAATTTTTTTTTTAATGAGTAAGAGGTTTCCAGAATGAGGAAATCACTAGAGATTTCAGTTCTTATTGCAAGGATCCCAGTGGTTAGAGATTTATGTATTGAGTGACGGCACGGAGCAGTTGCACGGTGAGCTGACCTGCTTTGTTTCTGAGAGGAGCCGCCCAATTCAGAATTGAGCCTGGGAATCCCCCAAAACTTTTTGGCTTCAGGTTGTTTATAGTGAAGCACAGAACTAATGGGCTGACCAGAAGGGGGAAGTCTCAGAAGGTCACCGCAAAGTAGTAAGAATCTGGATTAGGGAGGTCATGAAAGGAACGGAATTTTGTGACACTCAAATCTACAAATTTACTAGATAGAAACTATTTACGTGAAGATTTGATGATCCTGCTTATAGAGAGAGTGTGAGGAATAAATGAGGGAGGGAGACTCACTGGATTTCTCAGGGTGATAGAAGCATACCCCTCGTATGCTTATTTAAGGTTATTTAAGGTTATTTAAGATGATTTAAGGTTAGAAAGGGCAGAGTGTGCTAAATGATACAAAATCACATAGCAAATTCCATTTGCAAATCCCTAAAGGAGAGAATGATAGTATCAGAATATGAATATCAGAATATAATAGATAACATTCTGATTCCCTAAAGGAGGAAGACCCAATGCAGGATTATTATTTGATCAACACTGTGCAGCCCTAGCCAGTCTCAGGCGGAGAGCCTCTGCAGCCAGTATTAGCCAGAACTTGGTAGCTTGTACTGTCTCCTTTGAGTTAATGTTGACTGGTAGCTTTTACTTATGGACTGAGTCTTGTTTTCTATTTATCTGGGGATACAAATTTCCTTTTAGAGATATATTCATGTATGTGAAAAGGAGAGAGGAGGTATAAAGAAAAATATTTTTTTTTTAATTTTTTTTTCAACTTTTTTTAATTTATTTTTGGGATAGAGAGAGACAGAGCATGAACAGGGGAGGGGCAGAGAGAGAGGGAGACACAGAATCGGAAACAGGCTCCAGGCTCCGAGCCATCAGCCCAGAGCCTGACGCGGGGCTCGAACTCACGGACCGCGAGATCGTGACCTGGCTGAAGTCGGACGCTTAACCGACTGCGCCACCCAGGCGCCCCTAAAGAAAAATATTAATAAAGCAGTATATGTGGTTCAAGATCTGGCAAAACTTTGAGTATCTTAATTTGAATGATACCTGCCTGAGAAGCACTGTGTTTAACACCTAAACGATGCATTATACCATGGTTCTTTAAATATTTGTTCCTTAAAGTAGGTCAAACAGGTCCCTTGTTTACACTATTACTGGCTTAGCATATTAGCTCTTCATAGATGCTTTTTAAAAAGTCATTTCTCCATTTCTCCCAATGCAGGAACATTACGACACTTTCCCAGTGGCTTGAGCCAAATTTAATGAGATTTTATTGTACAAGAAACCTAACGTGGAGTATTAGTCCCCCAAAGAGTAACGTTCCCCCAGGAAATTAGGAAATTGTTTTATGATGAACAAATTTAGATGAGGGTACTTGTCTGAAAAACCCCTGGTATCGTTGAATATTTAGTGCAGTTGATAGAGAATAAAGACCATCATGTGCACATTCCAACCCTCTCCAATCAATTTTCCTTTTTCTATGGTTATTTCTGCCATTGCGAAATAGGAACGACGGAGGGGAAAATGTGGCCTACTGTTGAGGTGATACGGGGAAGGCGTTTGAGAAGTAAGTGGGGAGGCTGAAACAAATGGAAAAGAAAAAAATAAAACTTGGTAGAAGCTTGGTGGAAAAAGGATTATATAGACAATCCTTTCCAGGAGATTGCAAAAAGCCATATCCTTTGGAAGCCAGCAGATGTGAGCTAAGTTGCTGGTTTCACAACTTGCCAGCCATAAGCTTGAATTTCCCATCGGTGTAATGGGGTAATTCATCTGGAGAAAAGGTGTGAGTGGGGAGGAAAAAGGCAGGCAATATGTCGGAAAAGGCTCTGGCGGTTGATGGAGACAATATTTCCCTCACTCAAAGACTTTGAAAGTCATTGTTTTCAATCAGAGCAATTAGGGCCTATAGAATGTTCTCATGGACATCAATCACATTATATCTGTTGTCAGAGAGACATATTTTCAGAGCACAGAGGGCAACATAAATGGTTTTCATTAAGAAAGCACAGGTGATACTTTTCAGGTCCATCAGATGCTAAATTGAGGTCTCATATCATAACCATCTTTGCTTATGATGATGTGGATGTCAGTTTCTCTTACAGTGTGGGGACTTTAGGCCCCTTTCTAAGCATCTACGTATTTTAGAACCAAGGCTCTGGGCGCTGCTCTCAGTCAGCGGAGAGGGGGCAGAAGAGGTTGGTCCACTCTTAGAGCCAGGAGTCCTATTTGCAACATAAAATGTGTTCTCCTACGACACATGATTAGCTCTTATCCCCCTTAATTTCTTACAGATCACGGCCCCTTGGATAGAAGCTAATTCACACGTCTGTCATAAGGGGCTGGCATGATGCTGAAGATCTGGTCCCAGCATGTTAGGAAATGCAATCTAAACCATGCCGTCTTCACACAGTGGGGACAGTCCCCTGAGTCTGAAGGCCAGTGATGAAGAATAAATGCAGGAGCAGGGAAAGCCGAAGATTTTGGTCTTGCTGGCGTCAGGGAGATTTGCTTGGGGTCTGGAAAATGTGACAGACAGTGGTAT